TCACTCAACTATTTAAATGCATTCAATTAAGCCACTTGCGTTAATATTTAACGGAGAAGCTCCTGTGACAATTAAAATATATGGTATAATTACACATTTGATGATTGTTACTTATATATTCTATCAGTTTGGCCTTAATTTTAATAAATTAAAATAAAAAAGAATTGATTTTATTCTATCATATATAATAATGATATATACATGGAGTATTATTTAGCCATCAACTTTGGACCTGGCAAACTTAACGTCAACCCGATTACTCGAACCGATTTACCCGACCCAATACTCGATATTAACCCGAACATGATAATTAAATTTGATCCGATACCCGACCCATACTTCGACCCGATCCAAAATTTAGTGAAACTAAAATCAACCAGAACCGGAATTAACCCGAACTGAAATCGAAATTAACCCAAACCAAAAGCAACGCAAACCGAAATTAACTTGAACCGAAAGCATAATAATAAAATTATGCTAGGTTGTGTGCTGCACCATTGCCAGGTTGTTGAAATATGGTTGAGATGCGGTTAAGGTTGTTAGACCATCAATCTCTTCCGTTTTTCAACTCATCTCTAGTATATATATGCCGGTCCTCAGTTGAAGATATTACGACAATGTCAACAAAGCTTTGAGAGTATCGTCTCGCTTTCCTCCTATTATCTTTGTTACATTTTTTTTTGGAAAGAGGGGCACTTTGTATCTTTGTTTCTTTTTCTATTCTTTTTAGTTTCACATTGTTTCATGAAGAATCAAAAAGAAAGAAAACAAAACAAACTCAAATTAGAAACTAGACATAAGATACCATGTCAAGAAATTAAAGATTGCACATGAATTAAGAAATTAAATTGATTTTACCCTCTCTCTCTCTCTCTGTATATATATAGGGACGGAGCTTCCTTAGGGCCCAAGGGGTCCCGGCCCTGTATATTTGATATAATTTTGGTTTTATAGTATTTTGGTTCATGTAAAAATAAATATTTAAATTTAAAAAATATAAAAATTTATTAAATATTTAATCAAGTAGTGGTCGAACTAAAGAATGATAAGTACTTGTTCTCAAATTTTTAGTTTAATTACAATTTATGTCATTGTAAATTTAAATATTAGAGCAATTAGAAGTTGTCTTGTGAATATTGAGTTTTTTTTTTTTTTTATAAATTTAAGGTGAATACAAGGTAGTATACCTACAAATACTTTCAACTATTTGAAAATAAACACTCATACCCTTATATACGCAGTGCTTGAACTCGGGACCTCAAGGATAACATCAATCCCCTTAATCACTAAGGTAACTTGTTCATGCTGAATTTCGAGTTTAAATATCTAATAAGTCTTTATATTTTTTTAAATAGTCTAATATTTCGGCCCCTGTCAATATTTAATTTTGGCTCAGTCCCTATATATATATATATATATAACTAACTAGGAGTTGAACTAACTGCAACTAATAGTCTACAGCACGCACATTATCGTTTGGTTTGATATCCGTAGGAATTTAGCAAGGAAACAGTAGCCACAAGAGGCAACTTGAAGAGTAATACTGTGTGAATAGAAAATGGCCAGTATGGCAATGGCTGGTTGCAAGTTTGAAGCAAGAGGGGACCAATTTTAAAGCACGTGAATCTTGTTTGTCTCCATATTCTTTAGTAACATGCGCTAGCTGTCGGTTGAAAAGTCTGTATATCTGGTAGTTTGTGTTATAATTGTATTTAGAATGTTTTATATTCTTATAAAATTTAATATTAATATTTTATTTTGTATAGATTTTAAAATATTTATTTAAAAAGTAAATCATATTGACTAATTCAACCAAAAAGTCATGAATTTCATGTCTGCACTTACAATTTTCTGCAAAATGTACCTTTCTGGAACTTAAATTCAGTTGATTATGATATTTTTCCAATAATCTTTCAACCGTCTTGTTTCTTATTAAGTTTAATTATTTGTTTTCAAATAATATATTTAAAAGAAAAACTAAATTACAGAAAAAAAATCTTGATATACATGGCAATATCATTTCCACCTATTTCTTAGGTAATGTAAAATTATTAGTTAGTAAATATTATTTTGGATAGTTTTATTATTAGAGTTTATTTATTTTATCAATTTAATCATGTCAAATAAAATTTAAACAAAAGGTAATTATCTTGAATAAAAAAAAACCGTAAATATCATATTCTACACAACTGAATCTAAAAACTCTACAACCGATTTTGTACTCTAAAACCAACAACGATTCCTTTAACTACTGAACTAAGTTGGTCCGTACATGATTATCCTATATACATCGAGTGTGGAGTTAAGAACACTGAAATAAGGTAAGTAATTACCGCATGTCCAACCAAGAATATACACAAAAGTTAATAAATATTTTTATATAATTTCTAAACTATGGTTTTGTTCTAAGTTTAATCCTCTAGTTTTAGGGTATAATTACAACTTGTATTGGGCTGCAATTAATCCTACATCCATTTAAGAGCAGGATCCTTTTATATAGCCCAACTCATAGAGAGTTTCGATTCAATAATTACACAATTACTTCAATTATGATACTAAAACTTCAACAAACAAAAATACACGAGAGTCTGTTACATACCAACTATATGCAATAGATTTCACTAGTCTACAAGATCAAAGCCATAATATTTATTTCTCATTATTCAAATTTAGCGTAAAGTATATCATAGCAAAATATATCTTATCTAAATAAGATAATTTGTATATAGAACATATCAAAATAAAATATATTCTTTTTTTTATTAATTTGATGTAAGTATAAGACAATACATGTTGATAGATAATTCTCCATCATTTGATATTGAACGTTTACACCTATGGTATTCCTAATACTCGAACTATAGACTTCAAGAAATAATAATAATTCTTCTACCACCGAAGTCACTTAGTTCATGCCAAAATAAAATATATCTAAATTACTGAAGTTATTAAATAATACATATTCGATTTAATCGAATTAACATGATAAATCATTTTACACATCATATATCATCATAGCATACATCAGAGAAACGGAATTAGTTAAATATAACATATTTTCATTAATCGAAATCACATACACATAGATATAATTATTTTTTTGAACTTCAAATATATAAATCAACCATCTTTTACTGAATAAATTTGATATTCTTAATTTGACATTCAAACATACCGTGGAGGCACCATGAATAATTTGAATCAATGAAGTTCACAGCAAATAATATTTTCGAACAATCCTTTTGGATTGTTCACAATTCCTAGCACACGGCGAATTAAGTGATTTTAGTAGTTAAAAGATGATTGTTATGTTTAGAAGTCTCAGATTTAAACACATTGTTTACAATAATTTTTAAGTGTTCATTAACAAATAATTAAGAGTCTCTCGAATAAATATTAAGTTATAATCTCATATATTAATAAAAAAACATAACAAACTTACACTAGCATGCTGTTCTGTAGTGGGTGTTTCTTTTTCCTGTTCTGTTACTTTTACCTTGGTGCGCTTTGGGTTTGAGTGTGGTCGTATTTGTTTACAGGTTGAATGTGCTCGTTTCCTCCATATAAGTTTGGAAAATTTTTTAACGAGATATTATTCTCGATCATTATTAATAAAATGATTTCTTGCTGAGAAAAAAAAATTACACTAACATTTATCTAAAACACAAAGCGTGATATTTCTGAGACTTCAATCTATTAGTTTTCCTCTCTTTTTTTCCTTTGGAAAGTCTTCCCTCAAGTTTTTCTTTATGTATATAATTAGATTTGTAGAAACATAAAAATATTTTTTTATGATATAAAATATAAAAGTTTTTGATAAAATTAAATAAAATAGTATTTTGAAGTTTAAAATTTTATTTTATAATGGGTTATATACGATAAATGAAATAAAATGAAATAACTTTTTATATAGTTATTTATGTGCGATTTGAATAAGGGATTTAGGCTATCAAATACCCTTTTAAAATTTCTTGTAAAATTTGATATTCTTATTAGTATACAGAAATAAAATAATTTATTTTTGACCAACAAGTTGGTTCAAGTGATAAGTAGTTTGATATTGTTTAAGTAAAGTTTTGAGTTCGAGTTCTTGTGTATGCAGAAAATCATTGTGTATGAGAGACTCACCTACCAAAATTAGGTGTATGTAATGCAAGTCAATTCATATGAGTTGGGTGAAGACTTGGAATTGAGAAGGGGATTAAAAAATAATAAAATATTATTTCATTGAATTCGTAATTTTTATACGGATAGAGTTGCAAATTCTTCTTATAATTTGTAACTATTACATTGAGAAAGTAATAACCCAAAAATTGTCTTTTCAACCTCTCCGTCCTGAAGACTAAATCCTATTTATAGGACACAATATTTAAGCACATGCATCTCTTAATCATCAAGAAATTTCATTCACTAGGGTTTTCATTTACGTATCTAATATATTAAATAAACTCAACAATTCTAATTACATACTGCCAATGGAATTTAGATGAATTACTAACAAAAAATATATCTAAATCAAATTTCTAGTTAATGGGACTTTCACAAATAGATTAAAGATACTCATGCATAATGATATTAGACCTCTTCACCAATACGAAAGGCCTGGTAGGTGAAAATCAACATTTTTTATGCAACAAAGTTACATAACATGCGAAGATTTTTTAACAACATATAAATTTAAAGTAATTAATATTTCTTAGTGCGTATAAAAATTGATTTTATTATTAATAAAGAAAAATAATAAAAAACTAAGGTCGGTAAATCCTAAAGACCCATGTCCCAAAATTCTTCTTGGGATTGGTGCTAAAGAGAAACCTCCCTTATTTTCGCTATAATATACACTGTACCCTATAGCATCCCTCATCTCATCGCTTTCTCTTCTTTTTTCTTTTTTTAATTTTATTATCTCAGTTTTTCTCTGCTTTTTTTTTTCAGCCATTGCTGGTTCGCAAGCTTTAGGGTTTCCATTAAAATGGAGATGATGAGAGTGACAGAAGAAGATAAACATGACCCTCTTTGTATTCTTCCACAGCTTTCTTGAACTGCAACTTCGTCTTAGATCGTTCATTATCGATTTTAAGTATCAACTGCGGTTCAATAAAGCTGTGGGAAGATACTGATAAGGTCAAAGGGAAGCATTTCAATGCATTGTTCTGCGTTCTTCATTATATATATATATATATTTTGTTTGGCATGATTTCACCATGAAAGGATTACATATAGGTGTGTTTATATATATGCATAATTCTTTTTTTAAAAGAACAAATACTTTTATAACACCAAGAAACATTTTTTGGGGGAGTTTTATGATGTAGATCTGATCTAGAGGTGTCCATGCTTAAACTGCCATTTTCTTTATCTTGGTTTTGTCGTTATGTTATTATATTATTTCTTGCATTGCTTAGAATGAATATAAGAGTATCGAACTAGGAATAAATACATGATTTTATGTTAAGGGGAGTGAATTTATAAAACTTTAAGGAATCCAGAAATAACTTATTAATAAAAAAAAACTGTTATATGATAATTTAAAATTTTTAGGAAAGTGATTACTCACAACTATCTCCTTGATCCATACATGTCATTTGACTATGAATATTCAATCACTCAAATGCAGTCGTTGATGCTTGAACTCGTGGGCTATAAGAATAACAACAATTCGTTTAACTCCTAAGATAATTTAAATCGTGCTTATCAAAGTTTTTCTTAAATCCTTTTATTTTAAGTGTTTTACTATTTTCTACACATTTCCTCACCCATTTCCTCTTTTTTTTAATATTTATCAAATTATTGTTCAAAAATTAATATCTATATATGCATGGAACGATTGTTCCGCCAGTCCTCCGGTCCATCTTGTATGGGAGGCTCAATCTGAATCTGGGTAATGCAGATTTAAAGCATACAACTATTCGAGCTTTTGACAGCTTGATACTGCCTAGTCTTGAAAATTTTCCGACTTTATAATAAGAGCTACTACTCAAATAAGGACCCTTAATGTTGTAGCTATTAAAGCTTAGCTAGCCTCTCTTATTTGAGATCCCATCCAATTCAATTTGAGTCTGCATTTGTTGTTAGGTGAGCTGAATGATGAGCCTAATAATTTTATCATAAAAAGTGTCTGCATAACATAACAAACCTGGATGAATCATGTTGAGAGTGACCCACTTTAGATTTAGCTAAGATATGATATATGTGTGTGTATATATATTAGCTAAGATATGATATATATACACAAATAGGAATGAATAGGAATGAATCGATGAGATAATTTGAATAATTTTTTTAAATATTTTTTTCATTGATAATCTACTTTTGTTCTTATAATTTTATAAATTCATCCCGTTCTTAAAATTCTAAAAAAATATTCTTTAGTCCAAAATGTGTTAATATATATATATATATATATATATATATATATATCGCATCAAATATAAACATATTGTATTAAATATGTAATACATATTTGTTTGAGCATGCCAAGGACAACCTAGCTGGAGCAGAAAGGGGTTTCTAATTGTCCCAAAAATCAATTAAATATTTTGATATAATCACACATTTGATCCATATTATTTACATAGTCTCTTAATTTAGTCATACTTTTAATAAATTAAAATAAATTTAATCCTCCAATCGAATGATGCCATATTTCATGTCACATTACACAATCCGATTGACTTGACCCGTCAACTCGGTTAAAAATAATAGGTATTTATAATAAAAATACCCAATTTTTTGGGTCGGGTACTTGGCCTGCTATTTTTTTGGATTTTTGGGTCAGGCCTAAATCACAAAATATTGGTTAACCGGGCAGCCGCCGACCCGGTACCGATTTATTTTATATATTTTTTATTTTTATTTTATATAAAAAAATTTATTCATAATTCTCAAATTATCACTCTAACATTCTAAAATCCTAATTTCTTAAATTTTGGCACAATAATATTCTAAATTCTTAATTTCTTAAATTATTTCACATTAACATTCTAAATTATTTTTAAAATATTTATTTTAACTTCAAAACATTTGAAACTTAAGTATATTTCTTTATTTTAATTTTTAATAAACTTTATTTCAATTATGTAATTTGAATTTTAAACTTTTTGTTGGAATTATATATATTATAGACTTTTAAATTTTAAAATTTAAATTTTTCTATATAATTTTTTTTAAAAATAATATAATTTAAATAAAAAAAATTATGAACCAGGTAGTCGTGGCCCAGATTATATATAATATAATTTTATATATATTAACTTAAAATATTTTATTAACTTATTAAATATATTTATTATTAACTTAATTTAAAATATTTTATTTTTATTTAAAAATATAAAATTTATTTTTAATTTATTAAAAGTATGACTAAATTGAGAGAATGTGTAAATAACATGGACCAAATGTGTGATTATATCAAAATATTTTTTTAAAGGGGCGTTTTGTATGATATAGATAAACGAAAATCATACAAAACAAATCATAAACACGAACCTCGTTAAAAACCCTCTCTAAACCTAAATAGAGGAAAAGGAGTACACCATGATCAATATGTTCGAATGCATAATCTGCAGATTTACTAACACAAATCATCCCATGAATAATAACCCAACTTACACAGTACCACTCTCCACCTAAATCACACGAAGTCTTAAAGAATAAACCAACCAAAAAGCATCAACTGCTAGTAATACATAGCAAACTGGCCACAAAGCAATTGATGCATGTTGAATGATGAAGATGTTGCTGACGTGTGTAGGTAGTTATGCAATTAGGAAGTTGTTGTATAACTGTTATGAGTAGTTGATAGAAGCCTTAGGCTACTAAGTAGTTCTTGTATAAAAAAGTGCTATAGATCAATAAAACATACGCCTCTTGTTATATATCCTTGTAATGTGGTTGCTATTCTAACATGGTATCAATCGCCATAGATTCTGGAGCTTCTGCTTCCTTCGTTGCTTAACTCTAGATGGTTGCCTTTGGTTCATCACAGTGTTCCTGTGCAAAAGATTTCCGTTTGGTGATTTAAATAGTTTTAGTGATTCTGATATGATACTTCTTCTTGTATAAGTCATCTTCTTGCGATTTCTTGGTTGTTGTACTACTGAGTGTTGTTGCTTTGATGTTTACTAACAAAAAGATCAATGTGGTATTGGATGAAACAAATTTCTTTTTGTGTAAATAACAAGTTTTACTTACTATTCACAACCACCGTCTTGAGCATCTTCTTACCGGTGGTATGCAATCTTCATCTAAAATGGTTGTTGATGAAGATGACAGTCTTGTTCCCAATGAAGCATATGATGATTTTGTAGCTCAGGATAGTGCCTTGGCATTGTGGTTACTTTCTACTATTAGTCCACATCTTTTATCTCAATTTGTTGGTGCTGAGACAACAACATTTATCCGGGCTACGGTGTTGCAATACTTTGCCACTCGATCTTCAATCTCGGTGATGAGCTTGCATTATAAACTTCAGTCTCTCAAGATGGGAGAAGATAGTATGCGTGTGTACATTGCCAAGGTTAAAGAAGTTTGTGATGCCTTGGTTTCATGTGGAAGTCGATTCCTCTAGTAGGTCATATTGCTAGTATTTTGAAGGGTTTACCGCGTGAGTATCAGCCATTTATGGTTGTTATTACATCAAGTGGTGACATGTTTCCTTTGGATAAGGTATGCACCATGCTTATAGATGCAGAGACACATATTATTGGGTTTGTTGCTCAAGAAGAAACTGTGGTGGCTACAACTCATCTTACTTATGGATATGGTTCAGATAACTTCTCTAAACGTTCATATTCGAACTATGATAAAGATTGTATGTCAACTACTCGGTTAGATGGCAGATCTGGTGATCGAGCTGGTCGAGGACATGGCCGGCCACGTATTCAATATCTATTGTGTGGTAAGATTGGGCACTTAGTTTATCGTTATTGGCATCGCTATGATGAAGATTTCTAGATTGTTAGTAGCAGTTAGTCGCGATATGTTGAAGACTCTGCTGAAGGCAACACTGTTGCATATGATAAGTACAGTTGTATGTGTTACTCAAAGGGTTATAGACTTCATGCTTCTACTGGGTAGATTCTTCAATGTCTGAGCAAGATCAGTGGATTGTTGACTCTGGTGATACGCATCATGTCACTTCGGATGCTGATGTTATAACTCACCGTACTGGTCGTAGTGGTCCAGGTAATCTAGTTGTGGGTGATGGTGTTTCATTAGCTGTTGATTTGGTTGGTAATACGACCATGAAGTCTTCTTCTAGAATGTTGTTAGTCAATGATTTGTTTCATGTGCCTGGTATAACTCAGAATTTACTTTCTATATCCAAGTTTTCTAGGGACAACAACGTGATATTTGAGTTTCATGCTCAAGGTTGTTGTGTTTGTGATGCTGTTACTGGAGAGATGCTTCTTCAAAGATGTATGCAAGAATGACTTTATGTGTTTCCTAATAATAGTACTTCAAGTGTTTGTAAAAAAGCCTGTGTAAATTATGTTGTGGCTGATGATGTTTATAATCTTTGGCATAGAAGGTTAGGGCATGCAACATATGATACAGTTGCTAATGTATGTCAAACTCTTAATGTACGTGTTACTAAAGATGTGAATAAGATTTATGAGGCTTGTTTCATTGGAAAAAGCCATAAATTGCCTTTCTTCCACTCCAATTATGTCTATATTGAACCCTTTTAACTTGTTTATACTGATATATGGGGGTGATCTCATGTAGCTTCTAATGGATTTTACTATTATTTGTCATTTGTTGATGCCTATTCGAGGCATACTTGGGTTTATTTTTTGAAATCCAGATCGCAGGTAGTGAATACATTTAAGTTGTTTCATCAAATGGTTTCTACTCAGTTTGGATCGTTTGTGAAGGTTATGCAAAGTGACTGGGGTAGGGAGTATCACAACCTCTCATCTGTTTTGTTGAAATATGGGATCATTCATCGTGTTGCTTGCCCTCACACATCCGAAAAAAATGGTGTGGCAGAAAGGAAGCATCGACACATCATTGAACTTGCTTTGGTACTGCTAGCTCAGGCTGCTATGCCTTTACGTTATTGGTA